ATGTACAACTAGTGACATACATTGATATGCATTACTAATATTTTTATAGGATAAAATTCATAAATGATCATCAAATTTTGCTAAAATAGTATTATTTATCGTTGGATTTTTAAAAGTTACAAAATAGGCATTAAACTTTAGATTTTGTTAAAAAATTTAAGAGGGTGACATAGCATGCTAAATTAAATTAAAAAAATACCTTATTTGATCCCTAAGTTATAACTAAAATATCATTTTGATATATATATATATTTCAATATTTTTAAGTAATAATTCTAAAAAATAATACAATTCTTCTTTTTTTAATATATGATAACAATTTATTTTTAATATTTTAAAAAATTATAATTTTTTGAATTTTTTAGTTCATCAAATACATCTAAACTTAAATAAATAATCGAAATAGTCCTTAACTTTTAATAACATATCAAATAATTTATATCATACAAACTCAATATCTATAATATAGCAATAAAAATAATATTTATTTTATTTACATCTATTTTTTTCAAATCAATGAACTTAATAAAATCATTTTAATTAAAATTAACAGTAAAATAAAATTCTAGTTAAAATCAAAGGATCAAATGAGATTATTTCATTAATTTAACATGTCACGTCACCTATTTAATGGCATATAGTGGGATTGTGTTCATTTTGTAACAAAATCTAAATTCAATGTCCATTATCGAAGTTTTAAAAATTAGTATCTAAAAAGATCATTTTAATATAATTTAATGATCATTTTTAAATTTTACTCTATAAAATTAATGGTGAATATACATGATTTTCATTGTAGAATTTTCCATAATTTGGTGAATAAACACTTAAAATTATGTTGTTTGGATTTATTTAAAAAAATTAATGTATTAATATATGATGTATTAATAATGTATAAAACTAATTATCAAATATAATTTATCATATGGTCTTAATAGTTAAGTGGAGTATTTTTCTAATAAGTTTTTATTTTTTTAGAAAAATTATGAACAGTGCAAGATTAATAAAAAAATGATATTAAAATCTTAATATTAAAAATTAAAAATAAATTAAAAATCTCATTACTGAATTTTTACCATCCTTATTTTTTATTATTTTAAAGTGATTATAATGTATTATATATTCTAAAGATTCTCAAACATTTTTTTTTGTTTAATACAGGTGAATGGGCCTCTTAGAAGCCCGTTTTATCGGCTCTAATTATCTCCTCAGTTTCCTTTAGGGTAAATGTGCAGAAAAACATAATCTTCTCATTGGTTCCTCATTTGTTTGACGATGATATCTGGGACTCGGTTGGCCTCCCTCGGTATGTTCTGAATCTTTACTTCCCAATTCCTCTTGAGCAGATTCTCAAACAATTGACAATGAAATCTCAAACATTTTTACCGTCTCTAATACTCGAACATAAAGCATCTAATAAAAACAATAATTCATTTAACTATTGAGATAATTTAATTCATTCGTATTCTTAATTTAAATTAACCAAAAAATAAAATATATAAAAAAACTATATGAAATATAACTCCAACGTACGAATATAATTTATAATATTTGTTTTCAACGATCAGTGCATGAAATTTGCCCACAAGAACATTTGAATGACCGACAATATGTCTTGCAACATGCCAATTTTTAAATCCTTTGTTTGAACCAAAGCTTTTTTTCTTTTAAATATTTTAATAGGTGCTTGTTCAATGTATAAACCAATGATAACGAAGTACTCTTATATTGTTTGATTCATTGTCAGAATTTTAAAACCTCGATCTTGGGTTAGCATATTCTTTTCTACTATAACATTGTAAATAAAAAACATTAAATTTTGAGCCACATATCTTTTTGGGTAAAGTATATAAATAGTCTCTCGGTTATATGATATTACTTTGTTTATTCTCTCAATTGTTGAAAGTTACAAAATGGTCTACCGATTATAAAGTGTTACTTTGTTGAGTCCTCCGACTATTAAAAGTTATAAAATAATTACTCGACTATTAATATATTCAAAACTCGTTCTTTTTCGTTAAAAACTGACAGCAATTAGAGTTGAATGTTAACATGTTTACTGGGATATGATAAAATATGATCCTAAATCTGTTTGAGTTGTATTTTGTGAATCGAGTCTCTGTTTGCATTATGTCTTTGAGCCAATGCTTGAAACATTATGTCATCGAGACAATACTTGGAAGCAACAACGATGAAAATAGACATTATTAAAATATGATTTTATCATATCTCAATCAACAGGTTAATATCTAGCTCAAACGATCATTAATTTTTTAACGGAAAAAGATGAGTTTAAAACATATAAATAGTCGAATGATATTTAATAACTTTTAATAATCAAAATACTCAACAAAATAATACCATAAAATTGATTTAGTAACTTATAATAGTTTGGGACTTTACCCATGTTTTTAAATGAATCTTTAAAGCATAAAGTTTTTTGAACAAATCATTTTGCATATTAAATTCATAAGATAATGATGACAAAAGAAGGTGGCCTTGACCTTTCTCCTTATAGAAAAATTTCCTCTTTACAAGAATAATAATAATAATAATAAGCCCTCTACCCCATAAGCAACTGCTTTAAAAATGAAGAATGACGACCCAAATGACGAAATCACAATTCTTATTTTATTCATTAGGTACCAATATCTTAATGCAACAACACATTAATCAATCACAATTGGACTCTAATTAAACAACCACTTCATCAACTTTTTTTTCACATCCCAAATAAAAAAAAACATATCCAAAACCAAAGAGTGAACAGTTTGTTTTTTCCTCGTACACTGCTCCCAGGTTTGCATCATAGATTTTAAAAATCCATTGTAAATTATGAATATATGTATTCTTTTACTCGTCTGCATGGTGTAAAAGTAAATCCAAGAACCAAGATACTGTAGCCGTACTTGGCTTTATATCAGTTTTTAAAGTGATTTTCCTAGTAAACTGACATGGGTAACTCTTTACCCATAAACCCTTTTCGTCTCTTTCTCACAAACGTCGTTTTAAAGCAAGGGAATGATTAGTCCCTCTCGTCATGATGGCAATGTCTGGTGAGAGAACTGATTCAAAGGACAAATAATTGACGGTGACCATTCATCACCATCCACTGATATTTCCGATATAAAATCAATTTCCCAGTTTTTTAAGCTTTATACAATTTTTTATTTTCATACATTTTACCCCATTTGTTGTTGTTCTCCTTTTTGGTATGCAGAAAAATATATGGAGAAATCATGCAGTAATAAAATCATATGGTACCTAACAATGTCAAGGATGGCAAATGGAAGTTGCACTGTACTGGTAATAGCAGTAAATGAAAATAGGGTACAACAATGACACCAACTGTGTAAAAGGGCAGCTTGGAAATTGTATTGAAGACAACAGAAAAGATCGGCAGCTTAAGTCGGAATGGTTCCGGAACTTGGTCAGTTTCAAATTCTTCATTTTCTTTATTACTATTCTTTGTTCCGATGATTAGGCCTGTAAACGATCCGAACGCACACGAACGGATGTATGTTCATGTTTGTTCATTTAATAAATAAATAAACACGAACATAAATGAACAAATTTTTTTTTGTTCATGTTTATTTATTAAGGAATATAACTTGTTCATGTTCGTTCATTTAATAAATAAACGAACATAAACGAACACGAACATAAACGAACACGAACATAAATGAACACGAACATAAACCAACATAAACGTTGGAGACCCTACCTTCCATTGTTCTTTCATGAAAAATAGTCGACAATGCAAATCAACAAATCTACAGTGATAAATAGCGTAAGAGCTGACTAACAGTGATAAAATGTTTGAAGATATCAAATATTTCGATCGAACTTTTAAATATATTAAATGATTCACACGACTTTAATTTAACGCTATAACATTTATCTTAGTGGTACATGATTACATATGAACAATCATTTTCCACTATGTTATTCTAATATATTCGCCGGCTAAAAGTTTTGTGAGATCAATGTCAGACTTTAGTGAAGTTTGTTAATAATGGTCCTTTCCATTGGCATAGTAGAAAATTTAATAGTATGAAGATTTCAAACGGTACAAATTGGACTATAAGGCAATAACATAAATCCGAAATTCCTTCGATGCTACATATCGTAACTGCTATTTTTACTAAACCACCCTTCAAAATTTTAACGTACCTAAAGTCTACTCCACAACTAAAGGTCAAGAACTATGAAAATAAAAGTTCATTGTCAAAGTGTATTTTCTACTTATTAATAGGTTCTTCCTGGAAAACTCATTACTTCCGCTATTAAACTCTTTATCAGAAATTACATATAAACTTTTGTTTTGTTTTCTGACAAATTCTATATATTTTTCTCTTTACCGATGCTCATATACTTCTGATTGTTACCTTTATCTTAACATCTATTTCTAGAAAGAAATAATATTTTCTTGAGTTTTAGATGTGAAGATACCCGCAATAACTTTACATATCAACTATTAAGTCAAATAAACCAGAGAAAGAGATACAAACAGACCTGTCAAACTTCATATTGTACTATAATATAACTTGTTTTGAAACTTTCAGCGATCGTCTCCACTCTCTAGTGAATACTAGGGTTTGAGAAAATAAGGGAGGAAATGAATATAGATGCGAGATGCCTCACGAGTTAACATATTAGATTTAATCTCCAAATAAAATTGGGTTAATTATTGAGTTGATCATCAGAATATCAAATTAATTAATATTTTTAAGATACTTACAAATTGGTCACCAAAATTGATTTAAGAAGATTGGGTTAAATATAAATGAATGAACATAAACGAACATAACCGAACGAACATAAACGAACATAACCGAACGAACATAAACAAACATAACCGAACGAACATAAAAGAACGTTCACGAACGTAAATGAACGAACGAGACCTATGTTCATGTTTGTTCATTTAATTAAACGAACACAAAATCTTGTTCATGTTCGTTTATTTAATAAATAAACGCACATAAACGAACTTCCCGCCGCACAGTTCATGAACGGTTCGCTGAACGTTCAGTTCATTTATAGGCCTACCGATGATAATAGTCCGACGAAGTTGTAGGGGGAGATGGTAAAATTTTTCAAGACTTAATCTCAAAGCATTGATCTTTACATGCTTAAAATGCCAACAAGGTGAAAAAAAAGATGGGTTAGGAGGGTCACAAGAGCTAGTGGAACCCATTTTTCTGCAGCCATGTTTGGGAAGCAGGTCTGGTCTGCGATGGGAATCCTGATGATGCTGCAGAATTTCCAAACATTTGGTGAGTACCCCATTGCCATTGTTGCTCATTAGTCGATTGCAAAAGATCCCTACTGATTCCGCCTCCATTGCTGCTGCTTGGAAAATGAATCTGGAAGTTGCAAAATTGTTGATTAGTTGGGGACTTTCCTGCTGTATATTATATATGCCATTCCAAATCAAGCAATTACAAATTATATAATCAGGCGAGCCATAAATTCGAACCTGATAAGACGACGGATTAATGTGGGGAGGAATGTGGAACACATTGTTATCTCCAGGTCTCCTGAACTGTCCATATGATTGCAGTTCATTAGACTTGATTGATGCTGGAGATTGAATATGAGTTTGGCTCAACAGCTGCATTGCTTCCGCCTCACCATATCCATCGGATCTTTGATGATTAGTACCATCACTTCTATTAGGTTCCTTCTGCAGATTTAACTGCTAAGATAATGAAAAATGAAATCAAACACTACCAAAGCAGAAAGTATAGATTTTTCTCATTTGTTATCACGATTTAACCAAAACCAACCTGAGACCTAAATCCCCCCCATCGCCAATCGCCTGAAGGTGGCAGACTATGCTGATTATCACCCATAGCAATTTGCCTATCACCACCAAACTCTACATTCTTTTGCTTTGGGGTTGAATTCCCTAAGCTCAAATCAAGGTTTTGATCTCCAGCATTACCCCAAGTTTCTAAATAAGCATGTACAATAACTTGGGGTAAATCTTTAAACAGGCAATAATACTACATTATCCCAAATGGGCAAATTTCTTACCACCAGTGTTAAGCTCATTGTCGTATATGCTGGGATCAAAGTTAGTGACGGCATCTTTGCCATTGCACTTAATTGCTGCTCTGTCATAAGCCCTACAAAACAAGGGACAATAGAACTCCATATACGCTCACCAAATACCATTGCCATCAAAATCCAAGGAAGAAAACGTAAAGCACCAACCTTGCGGCTTCGATCTCGGTGTCGAACAAGCCTAAATAAACGTATCTGTAAAAGAAAGAGAAGTAGGCAGTGAAGTGAGTGGAGGAGGTGAGAAATGGAAAGGTGGAATAAAATGGTTACTTTTTGCCTAATAATTGGCCCATTCTAGCTTCCCATCGGCCACATTTGTGTAAGGTAACCCCTCTATACTTGGAACTTCCTCGAGGAAATCCGGTGCTTTGTCGGCGAAGTACATGCACAAATTCTTCCTTGCTTAGGTTACTCATCTGTTAATACAACAAAAAGAATCTTCCCTTTAGTGAACAATATGATTTACATGCGTTTCCAGACCAACAAAACATAAATCCAGATACTTTTATTTTTTAAAACAAAAAAAGAGAGAGAAACTATACAAGATAAAGATAGAAGAACTATTCAAGATAAGATAAACAATGCAATGTTTTCATTTCTCTATCTCTTTCTCAGTGAGTCTCACCTGCTTCAAGTCGTCTTCATAATCTTCAATACTAAAATTAATGTCGGCTTCAACTCCCCGGAACTTGATTGCTGCCCTATCATATGCACTGCCAGAAATAATGAAAGAAAGGTTTTTTGTTTGTTTGTTTGTTTTGTTTTGAAAATATAAAAAAAGGGTTAAAACGAAAAGAATTACCGAGCAGCTGCATGTGCTGTGTCGAATCCGCCTATATAATCAAAGCCGATAAAAAGAAGAACAAAACAAGACCCATCTCATGTAAATCAGAAAACATTAAATTGCAAAAAGAAAATTTGTCTCAAGAATTATATATATATATATATATAAAGGAGAGACAGCCATACCCAAGTAAACTTGCTTTCCACAATCCCTGAACGTTAAATAACAAACCAAAAAAAATCCTTAAATTCTGATTGGCTCGAGGGAAAACAAAAGGACAAGAAAATCCAAAGCTCTATTTGTTATGGAATGAAATGGAAAAAAATGAAAATAAACCAAGAAGTAGAAATTAACAAACCAAATATGAGACTCCCATCTGCCAGTTCTTCTATAAAAAGTAACTCCTCTATATTGAGAACTTCTTGACCTTGGCCCTCTCCTGCTTTTCTTCATCGGCTGTGAAACTTCATCGGATTTGGCATGGGGAAGAGGCTCCGATTGACAGAATTTGACACCAACCCAATTAGCCCGAGGGAACCCTGGTCCACTTCCGACAGAGGTGACCCCCATTTCCGGGTCTTGATCCAGTGGGAAAAACTGATGGGTCACTGGAGCTGGGTCACTCCTCTCCACGAAATCTTCTTCATGAGGCACCGAGAACCCAAAAATCATCTTGCTGCTTCTCTTCTTTAATGCCTCTTTAACCCTCTCCCCATCTTCTTCCTCCGATCCGTCCTCGATCACCACAGCTGACGAACTTGAATTCGAAACGGATCCGACCCGTTTACCCTTATCTTCATCACCATCTACCGAAGTTTTCTGCGATAAGCACCCCTCGGATTCGTCGTCTCTTGGGTGCTGATAAGGAGAGTCATTAAGATCCCACATTTCCCCACCCCTCTTTTCACAACTTCCCCAACTTAAAACCCTGATGGATATATCTATATAAATAATACTTTAAAAGACAAAAACTTAAAATTTGAGGATCACCATTTTCTCTTAGAAATGATAAAAAGAAACAAGAGAATTCTGGGAGAGAGCTGAAAACTCTCTCTTTAAGATAAAAGCTAGAACAAATAAAAGAGGGAAGGGTGGGGTATTGAAAGAAAGGAAGTTTTGTAAAAGAAAAAGAAAACCTAGGAGAGTTGTGAGCTAGCTAAAAGGACGTATAGCAAGGAACTTAGAGGTTAACTTAAGTTAGAATATCTTCTATAAACCTGAATGCCCAATACGGCATAGACGAGGCCAGATTGAGCTAAGCATCCACAATCTCCTTTATTTCTTGTTTCTTTCTTCTTCCTCCTCTTCTTTTTCTTGGGTAAATTCAACGTTTAGTAACTAAACTTTTACTTTTATTCTGTTTTGATACTTAAAATTTATGTATTTTTTCAAAATAATACTTAACGTTTAATTTAGGTTTCATTAAGAATATTTGTCGTTAAAAACTTAATAACGATATTGACGATTCACCATAAGTTAATACCAATAACGAACGTATGTGTATTTTAGGATGAACACGTGCCCACCTTGAAATCTATATTTCTTTATGATAATTGTTCATTTTATTAATAATGTCCATCTTAAAATTTTATTTATGGATGCCCCATACTAAAAATTTCTATTATTAATAAATTGTTTTCACCCTAAAAAATATTTATGGATCTACCACTGATTAATACCATATCATTATTTAAAAAATAAAAATACTACGTTAATAATTTTGTTAAATTTTTAATAATATATACCAAAATAAAACTTAAACTGAATATTAGTTATGATTTTAAAAAAAAATAGATACTAAAGCAGTAGAACAAAAATAATAATTTAAATATTAAATATATAATTTTTTTTCTTTTATTTTGAGCTTTTCTCTTTCTTGGCTTTTTTTCCCTATGATTTGCTTGGTTGGATAAATGAATGAATAAAATAATTTTTCCTTTGTTTCTAAATAAGTTAAGGTTTTTTTCCTTATTGTTTTCTTTCTTCTTTGTTCATTAAGAAACTCGACAAAAAAGGTTGAGGACTTTTCTGATTGTTTTCAGATTCTTTTGTTCTCAAAATTAGTACTAGAAAATAAGAAAAAAATATTTAAGAGATTATACTGAAACTTTTATATATTTTTAATTTTAATTTAATAAAAATAATTTCTGTTATTTATAGATTTTACAATCCTCACATCTCGTGTAAAGAATATTTTATATGAAAATTATATTTGTCAAAATTTATTTTATAAAATTATTTTACATGAAATAATAATTAATTTAAACAATTTTTTGTTCAGTTCTTAAAAAAAATTAATCAATAACCAGTTAATCTAACGAGATGATGCACTAGATTCCTTCAGAGGTTCGAACTCTGGCATTTGCAAATGGAGCAAACTAGGTTGAGAGGGTCGTCCTCGCCTCTGCAGCCCCAATCTAAATTAGTCGATTAATAGATCAGATATCAATAGTTAATTGAAAAAATAATTATTTATTTTTTATTTAAAAATGATATAGAATAAAAAATTAAAAGTCAATTAAATAATATTTATTATATCCTTAAATAAAATTAATTTAATAAATTTTAACTATGTCGACATCGTTTTTCGCCCCGGCGGGGAAAGACTGATACCGACTCGGGAGTTTTCTCTTTGAAAATATTTTCGAAATGTGAGGATTCGCCACCAATCATTTAAGGTGCGATTTGGACACCACGAAAACATGGTGATTTTAATAAAATATTTTATTTTTATCAAAATACCTAGTTTTAAGGTCTGCGAAAATCCAGAAATCAGGTTCATGAGTCAATTACTCGTGAGGAAGGATTAGCACCCCCACAAGCGCCCAAAAATTGGTACCTAGTTGATTACCCTATATTTAAAAACGAAAATTTTGAGTTTGATCATTATTTAATTTAAAAATCATTATAAATACAAAGTTAAAAAAGGTATATGTTTATTAAGATTAATAGCATTCACCCCTAGCATAAAGGCGTGAGATCAGCTATTGTGCCTAATGACCCTACATTGCTTTAATTTTTAAAAACTCATGATGCGATTTTGAAAAGGATGTCGACCTATTTCGGGAATCACCAGTAGTCGCCCCGTGAGCATACTTGCGGAAGATATACCTTTAATTCCCTAATAAGTAAATATTAACTTATGTTTAAAAATAAAATGCGATTAAACAAATTTTTATTCATCTTAATTAAACGAAGGGTAAATTAAGGCTTTTTCTAGCTTGAAGTGTCAAATTATGAAAATTAAGTAACCTAGGTGATTAAACCTAAATGTAGGCTCTAATATTTATCGTATTTGATTTTAAACCAATTATTGAATCGAATAACCGAGATGGTTCCTCGAGCATTTACGCGAGGGTCGACTTGAGTTATTCCCTAAATTAAGAGGAATATATCGAAATCTAGCTAAAATGGAGGCTCAATTTAACATATTTAATTATGTCAATATTAAAGCTCTAATCGAAGTTCGGGGACTAAAAGGGTCAAAGGACTAAATTACCGGGCTCTAAGACACTAAAAGTTTAAGGACCTAAATCAATAATTTCTAAAGTTGAGGGCTAAATAATAACAAAAAAACCTAATTATTATCTAAATTATTTAACCTAAAGTACCTTTTAGAAAATATTAATTATTAATAAATTTTAAAAAGTCGAGCAATCGATTCGAGTAGTCGGACATTTTATGCGAAAACTCGACTCTAATAGCTCCCTAATTAAACTAGAGTGTCATCATAATTTCTAAATTCGATTCGAAGGTTAATCTAATCTAAGGACTAAGTCTAAAGGTTTAAATTACAAAATAATGAATTATTAAGAAAACTAATTAAAATTAAAATAATAATAAAACACACAACATAAAAAATAAGCATGCATATGGACCAAATTGCATAAATGTCGAATTACTAAGATAAAAAGAATGAATTAAATTTATAGCAAGGGCTAAATTAAAATAAGAAAATTAAATCGCTAAATCTAAACAAAATAAAAAAATAGTTTTAGGGATTAAAATGTAAAAATTAGAGGAAGTTATAGGGACTAAAAAGAAATTTCACCAAAAAATATAAAGTACAAATCGAAAACGGGTAAATTATAAAAACACCCTTGCCAGTGTCTTCTTTGCAAAAACACGGGAAAACTCGGGGGACCTCTGCGTGATTTCTCCTGAAACTTTTCTATAAATAAATTTTTTTTTAATTTTTTAATATTTCGTTTTAAAAAAAAAGTTGAAAGACTCTCCTCTCTCTCTAGAAAATTGACTGTCGCCTTCCGCCGCGCCGTCACTGTCGCCCACCAAATTTCGGGCTCCTTGTCACAGATCTAGGCTCGGTTTCGCACGAAATGACCTCTATCACCGTAAAAACGGTCGATACCGTTCAACTTTTCGAGCTTCGGTGACCCATCTGACGACTCAAGGCAATTCCGATCTATCCTTTTTATTTATTTTTCGTATTTTTTTACTGTAAAAAACGATTGGTTAGTATGTTATTCGACTGAAAAAAATTATTTTGTTGTCGAAGAATAGTGTTTGGTTGATGTTGTTTGAAATAAAAAAAAGAACTATTTTTGATTGTTTGTTATTGAATATATATTAGTGTTATTTGAAATTAAAAAAAAAAACCCTTTGCTCTGCTAAGATCCTAAACCGAAGATAAAAAAAACCGAGAGAAAAGAAAAAAAAAAAGGGGAAGCTATTCAAATACTAGAAAAAAGGAATGATAAAATCCTTGTTTATTGCTGAAATTAATTACAATGTATTTTTTTCGAATCCAGAGAGCCATTTTTTACAGATTCTTTCATGGGTTTTATACCCATTTACACTGGAATTAAAATGACTAATATTTTGTTGTCTTCTGTTTTGTTTCTACAGGAGCGTGGAGTGTGCATGCAAGGCTTTTCTTCGGTTGGGGCAGAGGGAGATGGTATCTGGTTGGGGGAGATGGATAGCTACCCTTAGGGTTTAGGGTAGATTCAGGTCGGGTTTAGTTTGGGCCGTGGATTGGGTTTATTTTTGGGTCTTGTTTTGGTTTTAGTTTAGGTTTGGGCTTGAGGTCCGATTGGGTATAGTTTGGTCCTTGGGTTTGGGTTCTGGTGAAAAATGGTGATTACAAATTAAAATGGTCGGTCACATAAATTTGATAAGAGATTTAAATATAGAATAAATTACTAAATGTATATTGAAAAATAATATTTATCTATTCTTTTGCAATACAAAAACATTTAATCTCTAACTTAAAACGATCATTGTGCAGCAAACATGCCAACTCCATTCGTGGTTCCATGAAAACTGTGGTACGATGGATGAACCTCGACTAATGATGGATAAAGAAATATTTTTAAGAATTTGTATATATATATTAATAACAAAATTTTATTTGTATAAGTAGATACAAATAAAATTTCAAGATAAGCACCATAGTAAAATTAACAATTAATATAAAGAAATTCAGATTTCAAGATAATCACGTGTCCACCATGACCTCCATGTACATCTGCCATTGATCTCGACACAAAACAACCAAGTTGTCTGCAACTACATTAAGTTCACGACGGACATGCTTAACGATTGCGTGTCAATCACGATCACGTAAATCATAAAACGCAGCTACCAAAGCATTCCCTGTTAGTACATCAGACAAATTGTTGTATATCTTTACAACCTCAATGTTGTTTGTTTCAAGTTCAACATGCTGGAAACCTAATCTCCAAGCACGAGAAAGGAGGTCATGAGCAGCCCAACGTTCAGCCGTGAGGACTGAACATTGCCTAAGATTTCGCGTAAATCCAAAAATCCAATCTCCTGTGTTTTGTAGTAAACCTCTAGCGGCTGCGATTTTATCATTGAGACTAGTCGTTGTCCCATCTGAATTTGCCTTTATCCAACCTCTAGGTGGACGGACCCAAGACAAAGGAGTAATACCAATGTGAGATCTCGAACCAGCAACTGAAGCATTGGCCCCTGCAATCTCATCAGCTACCGATTACAGCGAATGATGAAATCCTCCCTTTGCACAGAATCAAGATCGAATAGAATACTACACCGTAGTTTCCAAAGCTGCCAACAGTAAATAGCAAAGTGGATAACCCAATTCTCATTGTCTCGAGTAAAATGACCAGAGGATTCCAAATTTTGTCCAAGCCATTCCACATACGGTAACGACATAAATTCATCTAATTTCTCAGCTCGGATCACTCTTGGCCATAAATATTCTGTCATTTTCCATTAACGTAGGATATGAC